AAACTCACAAGTTACAGATTCAGGAAACACATCCCTGAATTCGATCAAATCCTTATACAAAAGATTTGCCTGAAGTGAATCCGAGGAATGAGACGTGTATCGCTCAATCCGAGTCTTCTCATTGAGGACACTTTTAGTCCATCGATGAGCTGCTGAGAACCCGTTCGTTCTCAGTAAATACTGTTGCCGACCGAATATCGGCCACGTACTCATCCTCTGTGACGAGTATGCAGGTCTGCTCGACTTTGCCACTACGCAGATCACCCAAGAACCGTTTCGTTTCTAGCGTTGGCAACTGAGTTATCTCCGAAGTTAACTTCGGAGGCACAATCAGATCAAGTGTATAAGCGCCTACACTTGATCCGTCATTGACCAAGACGTTTAACGTCTCGGTTTCTTCCTGGAAACTTTCTTCCACATGTTGCTGAGGGCCTGATCCCTCAGCAGGTGACTCTTGAGGAATTTCTTTTGTCAAGTACGTGGGGACTTATTCCCTCGACGTCTTCTTACTGTGGCTGTGCAACCACAGTCAGGTACTGATCCTCTACGGTCGACCCTCCAGTCGACCTAGGATGCCCATGTTGCCCATTGAAGGCAACAGGTTTCTTCTGTCTAAGATGCTGCCCGCTAGGCATGCATCCATGTCCCGGTCCACTCGACTTCTTCGAGTGGTGGACCTTCGGAGCCGCCTGTACTCCTGTACAGCCACCGGGAGCTTGCTCCACAGTGTAGTGATCAACTACACTGTGATCTTGTGCGGTCGTGCGAACGACCGAACCGCAAGTGAGGCCATCGCACTCACTCGCAGAACATCCACACGCTTGTGGACGCTCCGTGGCGTTCATCAGATGGCCATCTGATGAACAAGCGGCAGGCATCTTTACGGATCGATGCTGCGAGCTCACCCTTGGCTCGTAATTTCTGAGCCAAGGTAATCCCAGGATGACATCAAATTTGTCATCCAGTTCCAGTACGATGAAGTCATCATCGTACTGTTCGCCCTCTAACGTGTAGTGGATTCCTACTACACGTTCCTCAACGGTAATCGATGCACCTGTTGCAAGGCGCACCGTCATCCTCGTGAGATGAATGTCGCGCTCAACAAACTTGAGCCTACGACCCTCTAGTGACTGGCGACGAACAAAGTTGTTCGACGCCCCACAGTCTACTAGGGCACGAAGCGACAAATCATTTGTCGCTTCCAAATTCAAGGTGGTGAGCGAAATGTCATCACCAGGTGCAGGGACACACAATGATTGTGTATCTGGAGCAACTTTCGTCAAGAGATTTGCAAATTCTCTTGAGGTTGCTGGATCAATAGGGCGCTCCGCCCCTACTGACCCCGACCATTTTTTTATGGTCCGTCTCGCTGTTGCGGCTTCGCAACAGCGCTGGACCCACGCCCATTGCCCTTTCTGGCGAATGGTCGTCCATTTCGCTCAGTACTGTTTGGTACTGGGCGTGGAGCACTACACTTGTATGCGTAGTGCCCTAACTTCTGACAGCGATTGCACCTCTGCAATCGCTTGTTGTTTGAAAAGCTAGGTCTCTCGATCTCAACATAGCAGAGGTCCATTGGTTCTGGACCTCCGATCTCTTGTCGTCTCGGTGTACGATAAGAGTTTGAGCTAGCATGAGCCGGTCTAATGCTAAAGTCTTCCTGTTCCGCGGCTGATATCGCTTCTTCAAGCGTATTCAGCTCAAGGCGGAACAGGTGGCTCCTGACGGGCCCATCTGCGAGCCCTTGCATGAACACCGTAATCAACGTTATTTTATGGAATGGGTTAGAAGTTATACTACTCGCGAGGAGTCGTATATGTCGGGCGTAAGCGTGAACATCACCCTTACCCTGCTTGAGTTTCGAAGGCTCTGAACGAGCTCTGAACTCAGCCCGCCGCGGCTCAAACGTTTGTCTGATCCGGGCCTTGAAGTCATCTAGCGACCTTAACACATGTGGGTCGCTACTTTCGAGCCCCAGGGACCAAGTTTTGGCACGCCCTGCCAAGTGGGTTTGAGCAAATGTGAGTTTCATTTGCTCAATTTCGACGCGACGAGCCCTTAAGGGTCTGTCGAGGTCGACAAACCACAGTAACAGGGAGTCTTCCGGGACTCGTCTGTACTGGGAGATGTCAACTTCCATGACTTCGCGACGACACGCATGCGCCGTCCCGCCCACAGCAGCATGGAATTGCTGCTGTCTCAACAGCTCTGTCTGTTGGGCACCGAATTTTCTCAACTACTCGGCCTGTTGAGAGCCTTGCTGGTGAAGAAAGGCTACTATTTCCCTCTCGATGGCAAGTTCATTTTGAATGAACTTGGCTATAGCGTCATGTTGTTGGTCTCTGTTGAGAGACTCCAACATTGCGCTAATAGCGAACTCGCCTACGGAGAGAACTCGTGCGTTCTACCGCACTCCATTCGATGTCACTCAGATGGTTAAACCCCTCACGCGTGGCTAAGAAGGTCTCCTCATCATCCAACATGTTCATAGTGGATAATGTGGAGGCGGTCGCTGAAAGGACTACATAGTGCTACCAAGTGCCACGGGGCACACCCTTGCGTGAACTTAACGCAAGGGTATCGAGCACCGAGAAGCGTACAGGAGGCAACTGAGGAAGCGGTAGGTAAGACAGAGGCAACACTGTCTTAGGGAAAAGTATAACTGATATAAAATATAACTAAGTCTATAACCACTGTCTCTCTGTTTGACTTAACTTAATTTTACTAATCTAACTGAACGTATGGAGACGTCTACTCACCACTCATTGCGCGCGTCTTGTGGCGATTGGTGGGTTGATATCGTCAAGATATCAACCAATGAGCAGACTCTTTGGTCGACCCATCAATGCACCACTATTGGTGATATTGTTAAAAGAATATTCAACGTAATATTCTTTATTGTCATTATCTCTCAAATGACAATTTCCATGTAACGGGCTGCCCCGTTACATATTTCTTGTCCCTAGCACTATTTCGGCGCTTTACCAAGCCTCTGATTTATTTTCTTGCGCCTCTACGGGTCATATTAAGCTACCGGCTCCTGACGATTTTCATCTTCACCACCTTTTTGCCTTCGCTGACGACTGCACCGGCTTGTTCCACAATCTTGTTAGAGCGCCGGTGTTTGTAAATTACTTTCAAATTCTTATTATCGCTGCTGAGATCCGGCTGAATGTGTCTAATATCCACCTTTTCCTTTCTCGCCTAGTCTCTTCTTCTTTCGCACATTGCTAACCACTGATGGTTGGGATACGGTAAATGAGGCTGTTGTGATTCGTCTTAAGAGAGTATAATCAAGACCCTCTATGTCATCAATTACTACATTTCTATATTTATATTATTTTCAGGGAACATCGATGTACTCTCCGGGGAATTTAGCGCATTTCTTTTCGAAGCGTCGTTACCCTACTGAATATCGTTTAACCCTCCTTTAGTCTACTTCAGCGGTGACTCGAGCTCCTCCTGATGTCGTTGATCAGGTTTGATGGTTATGCAAGTCTTTCTTGTTCAGAAAACTTATCTCAAGTGACCACGCATTCACAGGACCCGTCACCGAGGAGGAGATCGATCTCTCGGCGTCACTGAGTGGTCTTGTCTCCCCTGAGACTTGATGCTTTCGTGACGCGCTCCAGCGGCGCTCTCTGCGATGCCATGGGTCCAGTGTCGGTCACTCGAATTTTCCTTGCTATTTTTAAGCCTTTCTTTACGCTTTTCTCAAATCTGCTTATACATAAATGTGCGGGGTTAAATACTCTCTTTTTTATAATTCCGCGCGGACCAATATTACACAATATTCAAATTCATTTAGGTATTTTCTGGATTGAGCGTCTACGGCTTGGCTCCTACTCGTTGCTGCTCAATGTATAATATTCTTATTGTAAGATGTCCACACTACATCACCGTACTGGCAAAAAAAATGTTTTTGAGCCGACTCGTGTAACCGTCTTACGGATGCCCCCTGGTCCGCGGCTCATCTGCACTACAAACAGTGCTTATTCGCTTGAATATTTCTGATCGTTTTCCCAGCTATCTGACAAAGACTCTCTGCCTTAATTTTTTGGAGCAAATAATTATTATCTTCATGCAAAACGGTCTCTAGCTGCAGGTCGACTGTCGGCTCAGATTCTCCGTTTACTCAAAAACGACACTTACGACCACCTATCTTGGACTCTCACCTTCTGGTGCCCTGTGTGCAATTTCTTATGAGTGGTCATTTTATGGGGTTATCATTCTGAATGCGCTGAACCATAAAATTAATCAACTTACCCGTTAAGACTTGGACATTTCGCGACCATCTCATTCTTTGTTGGGCACTGCGGTGGAGTCGCGTTAGACAGTTTATATAGTGTCGAGATCGGTCACTAAAAAGTACGTACAACCCACCATAGCGGAAGTTAGGTGTCGCGTCCTCCCACATAATGAGCTCACCGTACGTTCAAAATACCTGCACTATACTACAGACGATCCGTGCGTTTACAGCTGTGGCTTGATGAAATCGGCTGAACACGTCTCCTAGATATGTGACTTATCCCAGTCCGTCTGGTAAATTTATCTGCCCAAATTTTCAACTCTATTGTGTGGTGGCGTCAACTGGGGGCGGTTTTGTATACCCAATGCATTTTGTGACGGACCTCGCTCTATCTTTTTGGCGCTAATAGGATGTTGCGGATATTCAACATTATTTGCTGCAGTATACTTAACACCCAGTGGTTGCACCATAACGATTGTTTGATAAATGAAGTGTCTTTAGTATCATCTGCTGTTGTGAAACGTTCAAAGATATACGTTCATATTCACTTCTCACGGTTGGAAAAACCCAACTACTTTCATCACCTCGACCTGTGTAGTCGTTGGCATTGTAACATCTGTCGGTATAGTTATAACCTTCTTCGCCATTCCTAGCCTCCGTTTCCCGGATTATCTAAGAACATGGTTTATCGGCTTCATTACTGATGTACGACTAACATCTATCCGACTTCTGCCATCTCCTCCTCGTGATTTCAATGCCTCTCCCTCTTTTGCGTCTCTCGACGCACCATCTCCTTCACCGTGTAGAAGACACGCTTAGGATTATCATCTGCGACTTCCTGGTCGAACTTCAGGCGTGGATCCTTGATCACATTAAGGATCAACCGGATGTCTTGAATATTCAGGTCACTCAGAACCATCTTTGCACAGCTCTCGTACACGATAAGAAAGTCGTCTTTGGTGACTTCAAGCACGTACATATTCCCTTGCCGCAGTCTATCGACTAATAATACCAAGTACACGCTACTTTCAGTCACACTCAGAGCCATACCCAGCGCTCCATTCCGGTATCCTTGGTTATGGTTTTTTTAATCCGAGCGCCTCAAGCAACCTTCTCGACGTCAGGAAGCGGAAGAACTCGGCCATGTTTTCCCGCGAGAGCCTTACGTCTTTTCCCGGTCTATCTTGTTCGACCGTTTGTATTCCAGCAAGTTCCCTAGTCACATTTCATGGATAATTCATCACTCTACCGGCCTGAATTACAGCTTGATGAACGCAACCGTAGCTGACTCCGTACCCCAACTTCAGCTACCTACGGTTTGTATCAACAAAGGCTTACAGCGACAAAGTGGGACTTCCGGCGGTGGCGTCTGTCTCCACAGCCTCACACAAATTGTCGGTGACCTTCTTTCAATCTGGCGCTCTGGAGGCGTCTTCTGCCAATACTTATTTCACCTTATCCAGGTGTACCACCAATTTGGTTAAATACCAATATTTTCCGTCCTCGATCATCCTTCTGGCCATTGTTGTTACTTCGCACACTTCGTACGTCTCGCCAGCAGATTCTAGGCTTGCTGTGGTCACTACTGGGTGTCTTTTTCATCGGACAGATTGCTTGCCACCGCCGGTTAGCATCACCTCTGAGATAGAAACCAACAATGCCGTGTCGTCGTGCAATCAGGTCGGCCTTCATGCCACACACGCCCGTTCCCCGGCCCTTCACCCTGAGTTAAAGTGACAGGGAAGTCAATCGATTTAGGCGTCATCTCTTCGGCTTGTTCGCTGGTCCCGTAAACCGTTGATTCCTGGTATGCTGCCATTGCTGCCAGATCTGTTACATCGACGGTGATAATCTGTAATGATTGCACGTTTCCTTCATTCCGCTCGGCCGTTCTTCTTCGAGGCCCCTGTCGTAATCGCCTTTTTTCTTTTTTTCGAAGATCAATTTTCGCCATCGCCGGATCTGTCGCTTGGTAGAGGAATTCACTTGGTTTCCCTCTTCCTCTCAATTGTCTTCGCCATCGCTTCCATTGTCTTCATTGGCGGCGAGTCGGGGTTCCGCACGCTCACTCAGTAAACCGCATCCGTGGAAGCTTGCGCCAATATCGTCCCCTACCCCTTTGGCTTCATTCGATATAACCGCCGCAGATTAGCTCGTACGTTTGTTGCTCTCTTTAGATCATCACAAGTGGTCAGTATCGTCCCAATTATAAAAATTTGTCTGTAACTCCTTACCGATGAACAGGTCGCCTGAAGTGACAGATGTGGTGAATGGCGAAAATGTAACGTCACCGCTGTCGTCTGGCAGGTTGGCTGGAATAGGTAGTGATTGTGCCGATCGCGCATCAGGATGTGTACCCACATCAGCCGGAACCATTTTGTATGTCCTCCTGACTCCAGTGGGTTTTTTAATTATGATCTTTCCAAACGCATGGGTGACCTGCTCTCGACGCGGCAACTTCGATATCAAGCTTTCGTCCGCATCACCGACTGTTGGATCCACTGCATAATTTCTTAAAAACATTGTAGGGGTGCTTCACAACTGGGTTTACCTAAAAGTCATGCGTACTCATAACTACGACGTAGCGGATCTCTGCCCTCACACGTCCCGGTCATGGCGCAGTTTCCACATTTTCTCCGATCCAATCGATTTTGTTGCTGCTGGACTCGAACCCGCAATCGACAGAGTGAAAATATGGGGAATTATCTACTACATCATGTGCTCGACTGTACCATACCCGAGCAAAAGTCTAATTGTTTCTAGACTCTTAATCGATCCGAGAGTTACTTCCATCTCTGATCGCTAACATACTCTCACTATACCAAGCTCTATTAAGCAATAAATGTATATAGCACCAGATTTAGATCTAATTGATCCACCTTAAGTGATTTAAATTGCTCTTATTCCAATTACTCGACTCAAAGAGACAGAGCGTTGTTATCTATTGCACTCCTTCCCTGCATCATGATTGGTTTATTTACGCGCCTGCTGCCTTCCTTGGATGTGGTAGCCGTTTCTAAGGCTCCCTCTCCGGAATCAAACCCTAATTCCCCGTTACCCGTTAATGCCATGGTAGGCCCATATCCTACCATCCAAAGCTGATAGGGCAGAAACTCAATCGATTTATCGCCCGAAAGGACGATCCGCACAGTTATTATGATTCAACACAATACCAGCCCGAAGACTGAATTGGTTTCAATCTAATAAATGCTACCCGCCCGAATACACAGTTGGGTATTTATGCATGTATTAGCTCTAGAATTACCACGGTCATCCAAGTAGTAAGGTACTATCGAGTAGACTATAACTGATATAATGAGCCATTCGCAGTTTCACAGTATAATGTTTATACTTAGACATGCATGGCGTAATCTTTAAGACAAGCGTATGACTACTGGTAGGATCAACCAGGTTGATATCTTCCATACTAATCAAGATGAAAACTTCGCCCCAGTACAAACAACAACGAAGAAACAAGTATCTAGATCAAATCCGCTTCGCCCGAAAGCAATACAGTCTCAACCCTAACACAGCATTCCCCAACGTCATCACTATTAACCGAGGACATATGTGGTGAAGTCGATATCACAAAATTACTTTAGTGAGTGTCGATCTTCCACTTGCCCAGACTTGCCGACTCACGGAGGGGGTACTCCGATCCGTGCCTTGCTGTATAACCTTGTGCTCACCTTGTGTACCCGTCGGTTGGGCTGGCTTGAGCTCTTCGTAACGGCCTTGGGAGATGTCGAACTCGCTGAGGGTTTGGGGTTGAGCGTTCGCTTCCGGTGCGGAAATCTTCACACCACGAACAGGGGTTCTGCGATCCTGATCTTGAGTCGCGACGATCTCTAGTTAAAGAGGTCGCGATCTCGATCTTGAATCGCACCGATCTCGATTTGTCGTCGGGATCGGGGTCTTTGCTGTGCGGAAATCTTCACTCAGCAAATAGTAGTCTTGCGTCGATCTTGCCTTGGGATCGGTCCGATCTGGTCTTGGGATCGGCCGATCTTGCCGGAAGTGCGCAATGTGGGTGGATCGGTTGCTTGTTTCGCCAAAATGAAACGTGCCGATATGCCTTGTAGATCGCTTCGGTCTTGCTTGGTCTTGTCTTGAACTCCTTGTCCAGATCTTCTGACCACTTGAGCCGCCTCGCGATCTTGTAACCAAAATCCTTTTCCTTTACCGTTGTTTGCTGTTACCCTAGCAGTTGAGTTGAGTTGAGTTACCTTAACCCCACCTTGGCCAAACAATCCAAGGTGAGTAAACGAAACACGGCGCGTGCGACGTCTCTTGATCGACGGGAGACCAAATATCCTGCCCGGAAGAGAAGTCTGCGACGTGCTTTGTATGTAAAAACGGTAACTGTTTTATTATCCAACCAAATTAATAGCCATCCTATCCTTAAGCCTATTCCAAACTGTAGGTCACTCTCCAAACCGATATCACCTTTAAGCTTGACCGCCCCCTTGAACAAGTGTCGAAATCTCGTGACCTGTGCTCCAAAGATCGCGCCAATACTCCCGATATCGTACCTAGACACCAAAAAGGGAGCAAATTCCAAATGCGGTACCTAATACCCAATTTTGGTACCGAAAAGCCCAAAATAGTATCCAAGATGTGGAACGTGTCTAAATCCATTTTGCGACGTCACTTCGACCGGCTTCCACTGGCTCTTTCGGTCTGAACTTTTGCGACATCACTCATGGACCTTCAACAAGCATGTATATCACAATCCAATAGCTCCATCATCGATATATCCATAATCAGCAGGGAACATGACCGATCTGATGCCCAATTCGAGATCGTTGAGGATCGACACAGTGCGATCCGGCCCTATATGTTCTTCCGTTCGTTGTGCATGGTCCGATACCATCCTCAAGGGTTTATCCGCACAATGGGACCATCCACAGTTCTCACAACGGTCCCACGGACTCCCACAAACATCCCCATTTCCAGATCGGTCCATAATTAACCTAAATCAGTACTCCCATTGGAGATCGGTGATGTGTATCTTCGATCACCTGGATGCTGCAACTTTGTCACAGAGTCACGTCGCATCGCTTGGTCTCAGAAGTACCTTTCTCAGTTCAGATCGGTCTTCTGGTTCAATCTAGTCCCTCGTCCCAGATTGCACCGTGGAAATCATCGATGTCTGCGACTCGTCCCAGATTGTTCCAAGAAAATCACCCCTTTCTGCGCCTCGTCTCAGACCGTTCCACGTCCATCCTTCGGCCGACCGTTGGATCGGTCCGTCGATCTCCGTGGGATTACCTTCCGTCTCTCATCGGATCGCCAGATCACTTGGTGCCATTTTTCACCAGTACGTGGCGCCTCAATTAGATGGCCACCGATCCATATCATAAAATTTAATTTATGACTTTTCCACACATATGCTTCATCCTTCCGAGCACAGAAAGATAAATTATGACCCTCCCTTCAATGGTCCGCCAAAATAGACCAAGAAGCGAATAATAGAGCACGACACAATATACTTCAGATTTTATACTTCAGCAATCGCATACTAGCCCCAGATCAAAGACGGTTCTACCCGAATTTGAAATCTTTCCACCGATTATCTAGCGCAAAACGTACCGCAAAAATTCTGTCAAGCGACATACAGACCGGAATCCGCACATACACCAAACCGTCCTTCGCAATACTCCTTCACACTCGCACCGATAGAGCGCTGTTGTTATACTTCGCAACGTCAGTAATATCGTTGTCGTATTCAAAACCATGCACACAGGTCACTAATCCACGTACACGTTATCGTCAACAACTCCAACATCACATCATCACAAAGCACACAGTGCAACGCAATTTGTATCAAAATACTGTATTCGAATGCATAGCATATGAATACAACCTCTTTTTCTTTCGCACACTTGATCACTCTGAAATAAATTCCAAAGCAATACTAGCGCACTTGTTTTATAATCAATACGTATTCTGGAAATGACGGAATCATTTTTAAAAGGATACATAGAGAAAACCATCAATTGCCACATTTCAATGTAGCACGTCACAACTAAGATTGCAAACATACTCTTATTGTGAAGCAATTACCCGACCATTCAATTTGACACTAGAAACACTGAATGTATTTCCTGCACCTATCTCACAATTAGATAATACACTCCACAAT